GGTTGCCTCTAAGTGGGTACTTGGGCATGGTATAGGTTGTATTGGGGTTGGGTGTCACGTTGCCTTCTTAAAAATTTCCCAAACTTCATTGGAACACGCTAGATCATGTTGTGGGTGCTCTGTTCATGAACCAGCGCTCAGCGTGATGAACCCCCGTTGACACATCTCTATCTCCCTCGATGCTCACACTCCGACCGTGATCGTTGTTTGGACGAGAAGCCCTTAGGGTCTACTAGAATCTTAAGCTCGGGTTTAATCTCAACTGGGCTCTAAGCGGTTGGTTTTGACGCTTTCAAATTTGTGCATCACACGTTGTCTAGCCGTTTGGCCTGGAGTGCGCGGTCACCACATTTCGGTGCGCCGTGGCTGCACTTGGCCGCGTGCGCGCGTGGCCATAGGTTGGTGGGCGCCGCCCTCGGCATGGCCGTGGCTTGGCCATCACTAGGCTGCGGTGCCTGCTGCCGGCCAATGGCCTCGGCACCCCCCTCAGCCGCCGCCGCCGCCCTGCCACGCCACCCGCTGCCCTCCCTGCCTTGAGCTATGCTGCTGCCTCGCCGTCACATCCGTGCTTCCCCCTTGCGCCTTTGCGCCGCTGCTGGCCCAACCTAATGGCGTTGTCCCCCTGTCGTGCACACATGGCGCACCCGCGACACTGGCACTTGGCCGTGCTCACAACCGCGACCCCTCTTTTTTCCCTCCCCTGTAGTTTCCGCTATCACGACGCCGTCCATGGTCCAGCAAGAGAGGTCATCTCGGGTCGATTCAACAAGTCCATGGCCTCGCCATTAACCCACCCAGCTACCCGTTCCCACCCCACCTTGAATGGCGCCCGGTCGAGCTCCAATTTTGGAGTTTCCCCACCACCAGGCCGTTAAGGCCATGTTCGGCCGATGTGGGTGGCAACCCACTCCAGTTGCCGTTTGGGCTCAACCAGCTGCACCAATGGTCTCATCCTGACTCCCTCTCCACCTTGCGTGCACCAGCAAAACCACTACCGCCTCCCCGGCGTCGCTGACGCGGCCGTGTCCACCGTGGCTCGTCGCTGAGCTCACCGTGCGTACGTGGCTAGCCTTGCTCGTGGCGTCCCCGGTCGAACCATCACCATGGCTAGGTTTGCAGTAAGCCCCTACTGCTCAATCATTATCTGTATAGGCTGGTAGCTGCTTTAGTTCGTCGGAACGGCTGCGCCGCCGCCGTACACCACTACCCACCGCTGCAGCATGCGCTAGAGCGCCTCCCAGCTCTCCACCGTCACCCAATGTAGCCACTTAGGTTGGGGATTGCGATCGACCCTCTAGGTAAGTCCGCGTGAACCCTAGATGGCTGGCGTGATCGCTTGGTGCTCGTGCTCGCCGCGCGTCCTGCTTTGGTGACATGCGTGGGGAAATTAGGAAGAAGTCAGGGGGTGAAATGAATTAGTCAGAGAGAGAGAGAAGGGGAAATAGTAAATAAACAGAGACGTAGTTTTGGAAAAGATCAAGGTCTCTTTTGCAAAAGAGCCGCGCGCGCGGACTCCCCGCCTTGGGCCAATGTTGGGCCAGCCTGCTGCGCGCGCCCGCGTCCCGCGTTGGGCCAAGCCGGGCCACAGGGCCGAATGGTTGGCATCGGTCCATTGCCTTTTAAAATGTATTTCCTAATTGTTTTTCCTTTTTCTTTGTTGCTAGGAACTTGTAGATTCAATAGCAATTAATGTTCCTGTCCAAAAATTGTGAAACCAATTTTGTTAGGTTGCTAAAATCATGCTCTATCTGCCAGTATATCTTGTTTGCATAGTTCATAGTATTTTCAGGAGCTATTTAAGTAATTCGGGATGCTTAATATGGTTAAGGCATAAACTTGTAGGAATTATTATGATAAATTGGTGATAGTGTTGTCTCTGAAACTTTCTTATAAAATTCTAACACTATTAGATGCTCACTGTAATTTTTGTAGCTTCATGATAATTAGTTTACTAAGGTAGGTAAATGAGTTCCAGTTCAAATATATATATGTTTAATCGATCAAATGCCAAAACACCTTGGGATTGTAAAACTAAAACATTTTCCACGAAACGATGCCTTACTCGACAACGTGGATACATAGCCTAGTACGTTAGTCATAGAGCTAGCTCGTTAGCTTGAGAGGCGTCAACGTATTTTAAGAGTTGTGGTTGCCGTTGGTTAATTATGTTTCTACGTTGCATCCACGTGTATAATAGGAACAACGACGGCTTTCGGAGTCATCTAGAGTAGCAGAAAGGATGGTGCCTTGATGATCGGGTCACCACGATGGAATGCTAATCCTTGGTTAAATCTCACCCAGGCAAGCCCCGGTGCATAACCCCTATTATTCTGCACTAAATTTTATGTTTGTGCATTAAGTTTTAAGGAGTTGAATGAAACCCACTTATATATATATAGCTATAGGACCCGGTAGAAGTTAAGTGATTACCTATCACTCGTGAGAGATAGGAAATGCATTATTATTGTTATTATTATAAACTATAACATGGAATAGATATCAGGATGATAATTGGGGACATGGCATAATTGTACTTTGGATCTGGATTCGGTTGGGCAATCGAGTGAGGCTCTGGTTGCACTTGTTCCGCCTGTATCGATTAAGGACCGTCTGTTCCTGTGGATGGTAGTCAGGTCACAGACTTATTATCCTGAGCACATACTTGCTTATGGGAGCGAAAAGACTTATCACTCTCTTGTCATGGGTTTTGGCTCTTTTCGGACCGACTTTTAGGGGTGGGTATTAGGTGGAGGTCTAAGCACCATACTGAGACCGGGTCTCAGGTGTTGGAGGCTTAGAGTCCAAGTTTGGACGGAGACCTGGACCCCTTGATAGGAGTGGGATGAGTTGGTTCCGTTTGTGCCTAGGGTACAAGCAGGGCATGTCTTTCGAGGTACCCAACTGGGATACATTGATTCGTGAATCACCGTTTCTATGAGACGGTATGACTTTGCTATGGTCTAGCACCGTAGTAAGAACTGGAACATAGAAGAAGATAAAGCAGTGCTGATTGCTTACCACATACTTGAAAGTAGCATAGGTGCTTACCTAGATTAGATAGTTAATGAACTAATGATGACTGCAAATAAAATTGAATATAAGGATGCACGTTTAGTATGGCTTCCTATAGATACAATAACCTACAAGCCAGATAGCCTTGTATATCCTTGTAGTATTTTATTTTCCTCCTATCGGGTAAGTCTTGCTGAGTACAATCGAGTACTCAGGGTTTTATTCCCCCTGTTGCAGGTGACCAGAGGATACATAGAGCTGACTCTTGTGTGTGGAAACCTCCTGGTGGGCTCAGAGAGGATTCCTTTCACGCTACGATCGTAGTGTTTATTTATAACCCTCACTAAAAGTTTTTAGAAGAAAAATTTTATGATCTGCCATCATATTTGGTTTATAAATGTTCACTATGTTAATGATTCACCATTAATCTTTATTTCCGTTGTAACTCTGATCATATGTTGATCTCCGCTGTAAGATAAAAATATGAACCTAAAATGTATAAACTCTTTTACATGTAAAACTATCTTAATTCCGCTATTGCATTCAACTTGTTTAAGTACTCTATGTTGTAATAAAGTGATGTAAGAATTGGTTAAAATGTTATAAGCTTTATTCTCTCATTTATGATCCTGACGGAAAATGTGGATTTTTGAGTTCTTCCTTGGGGTGTGCTCTATAGAATGGCACAATTTAGTGCACTCTCTTGATACTTAGTGTCTAATGAAAGACAAGTACTCTTGGGAGGGCATTAGATTAGGCGGTTCTGCCACATGACCCTAGCTAACGGTAATCGCATTAGAGTTCCTCTTTTAATAGTATGGCTATCTATTCTAAACCCATCCATACACTATTGCATCTCGGCCAACAAAAAGCAAAGCCCTATAGATATATCTTTGCCTTCGAGCTAGCTTTCCATTTCTTTGTTCTCTTCATGGGTGAGCACTTGCTTCATATGGTTATGATCATCATCTTCACCGTATCCTAACCTTGTTCAATTCCAAGTGGAGTTAGATCAATCATTTCCACTGAAAACATTAGTCCACTAATTATTACTCAATTACTAAAATCAAACTAGAATTTCTAGTCGGGCAATAGCAGGGAACCATCTGTGTGGTAGTAAGGAACCGTCGGGCAGGCAGGGCCGAGCTCGACGGCCAATGTCTATGGGCTGCTGTGACCGGCGATCTCTCTGTATGTTGGGCGGATGGCCAGCGGTGAATCGAAACACCAGACGGACCAGCGGTGAGGAAAGGAAATTTTAGGCGGACAGATGATTCCGACGGATGATTCCTAGGCAGGCACGTACGTCAATATGCCACATGGGCAATTTGATACTTTCGCGTGACTGATTTTAGGACGAAAAAAGAAAAAGAGAAAAAAATAATTATGACAAAGAAAAGAAGAACACATGGTTTGGCTCACAATTTTATGAGATTTATATTTAGAGTGACAAATCTACAAAGCCCATTCTTGGACATGGCAAATAGTAGCAATTATCTTGAAACAAAATGCCAGCTATAGGTGCCATAGAACACTCAAGTGTTCCGAGGCCTGAGAAGACTAGATTTTTGTTCTTTGTCTTCTTTCTCCTCTCAACCCTATCGCTCCCGCGGTGGCCTCCTTCTTCTCCCCTTCCCCACTGCCGTCATGGCCATGGGCGCCACCACCCGATCTGGCTCGACCACCTCCTACGCCGCCGGAACCTTAACTGACGCCCTCACCACTGGCCGGTCTCCCCCGAGCTCCTTATAAATTTGCTAGAGTTGGGGAAGAAGAGAGGGAGAGACCAGAGATAGAGAAAAATAAGAGGAAGAAGAATTGAGTGTCAAGAGGGATAGGAACACTTAAGTGTGTTATAGCATTTTTGTTTTAGAAAACCAGGGAAAGCCACCGGATGAAAACGCGTAGAAAAATAAAAACAAAATGGCTCTAGTGGCAGATCGTTATCTGTTTCCTCCTCCATTTCATCCCAGCCACCACTTCCCGCCATGTCGCCACCGCCGCCGCAGGGTCCCGTTCCCTCCCATGCTGGCCGCGCCAACCTCTTCTCCGCCCCGCCGCCTCCCCTCTCCAACCGCCGCTACCCCCATCAACGGTCCCTGCCCCTCCCGCCCGTCTCCCCTCGCCGCCGCGACCCCAAGAACCACTCCCGGCAGCCTTCCCAAGAGGTAGAACCGACAGACAGCGGTCCAAGGAGAACGGCCAGCACCAACCCGGCCTTCCGCGCGGCCCACCTCCGTACCGCGTACCGCAAGCCCGTGCCCCCAGCCGCAGCCGCCGGCGAAGGCGAGGCCCTCCTCGCCGCCGACCCAACCGACGCCGCCTCGGGGCGCACCGTCGTCGTGGGTCCCTCGGGCCTCTCCTCCCGCCTCCCCGGCGCGCCGTTCGACTTCCAGTTCAGCTACTCCGAGGCGCCCCGGGCCCCGCCGCTCGCCATCCGGGAGCCGGCCTTCCTGCCCTTCGCGCCGCCGACCATGCCGCGGCCCTGGACGGGCAAGGCGCCGCTGCTGACGAAGGAGGAGAAGGCGCGCCGCCGGGGCGTGCGGCTGCACACGCCGCTCGGCCAGGAGCCGCCGCAAACGGTGAGCGCGCACGGGATCATGATGGAGGTCAGGGAGAGGAGGCAAATGGACCTGGCCAGGGTGAGCCCCGGTGACGGCAGGAGCAGGGAGGAGGTGCTTGGTGAACCGCTCACCCCATCTGAGGTGCGCGCGCTCGTCAAGCCGCACATTTCACACAACCGGCAGCTCAACATTGGTAACAACTGCACTGCCATTTTCAAGAGAGAAACTGATTATTTTTTCCTGCCTCTATATTCGTTCAGACTTGAGATTAAACTCAAATGGGCCAATGTGGAGAGCATAATGAGATAATACAGTGGCATGAGAACAAACACATCCGGAGTTAAGTTTGATGCAAAGGTCCTTTTCGATTACATAAGGTTAAAAATGTGGATTGTGGCACAACCATGGTATCTGCCTACAAATTCAGTCAATTGTTAGGAATCGGCGAAGCGATAGCAATGTTTTTCGTACATGAAACGAGAACAAGTCAATTTGTAGCCCTTCAACTCTTCTCAGGGTTTTATTGTGGGCCAATTGCATACTTCTTCGAACCATTTTTATGAACTTGCCATTTGAGAAGTCATAATTGCATAGTTGCCATCAAAACTGCTGGTCAAGCATCAAACCCACCACTGGATTATCAAACTGAAGAAATGTCGTAATCAGACAAAATGCCCCCATTTTTCTCTCTCCTCCCTTCTCCGTCAGCACACTGATGGCACCACTTCATGGTCTTCCATTTCTTCAGTCCAAGGCTCCTCCTTATCGCTCCATCTCCATGGTTACCATTGCAATTTCTGGAGGTAGGGTTGGACGGGCAGGTAGCCAGGAGCTGAGGGCACCAGCGAGGGGGACTTGTGCCAGATCAGGTTAGCTCTTGCTCGTCAGCAGTGAGGGGCCGAGGAGTTTGGGCATTGGCTGGCCTGCCCGTCCTCCTAGCTGGCCTCCCCATCCTCTCCACCCTCCTTGCCGATCTTCTATTCGCCCTCAAGTCACTGTCCACCATGCAAGCTTATCAGCACCTCCTCACCATTTCCTGCTGCTCCTCCTTCTAGTCCTCCACAGTGTCGTGATGGCCGCAGTGCAGTAGATGCAAGCAGCAGCATTGGAGGAGCTCGCACCAGAGGTGGGGACAATGGGATGGGGAGGAGCAGGGGTCAGCACTCAGCACCACGTAAGAGAAAGGGGGCTGGCAATGGAGACCAACATGCAAAGCACAAATGATGCCAATGAGAGTGGCTGCAATCGTGAAAGAAAGGAAGCATCAGAAAGTATATGCCAAGGGTTAGTTTGGTAATTCCATGATATGATTTTCTGTACATATTTTCTGAAATGTTTTTGCACCTATTGGATAACATTATCTAACAGAAGTTAAATTAATGGCAATCTAACTGGAGGGGATTCCAGTGGTAGTTTTCCAATAGATGTTTTTTTAATGGCAAATTTCAAATAGTACTCGCAAATATGCATTTTGTCCTTTTAATTGTCGTCACTCCTCCGCAAAACTTGAAGTCACATCATATGCTGTTTTTGCCATCAGCTGGCACACCTGCTATCAGCAGTGTTTTGATATGCTGGTCCCGAGAAAGAACACCACTGCATTCAAGCAGGAGGTTGCCAGCAGTAAGGCTTGCTTTTGTTGAGAGAATGGTATATATGTGATAAGTGGATGTTCAAACACATTATTATTTGCTTGATTTAGGCAGTGAGAGTTGTTTTAGATCGTCTGGATCCAACATGGTGTGGTATGTGGGCCAAACTTGGTAGGGAGGGATGGGTCCTCACTCCTCATTGGTGTTCAGAGTTGGAGTTGTATGGCCCTGTATTGCAGAGAGTCGAGGGACTACAGATAGACTTTTTCCTGCTTGTAAACCCATCCTCATATGATACCTTCCAAATCCTGTTTTCTGCTTATTGCAAAGTTAAATCTTCTTTTCTTTTTGTCACAAAGCTAAATCTTATTACTGATGGAGTGTAGAGTTAAATATCAATTTCCTGAACAACTTCCTGTAGGAAGAGATGGCTTGACCCACAACATGTTGGAAATGATACATTGTCATTGGAGGCGCCAGTAAATCTGCAAAGTTAGATGCCGAGGCGTTCCAACTGTTGATATGAAGAATCTCTGTTATCATCTTGAGGTATCTATAATTAGTTTATAAATGTGCATTGTACACATTCACATGTGTTAATATATATCCCCCAGGCATCTGGACAAGCATTCTGTGGTACAAAGCCAAAGATTTCCATTGAATCTCTTTTTCTAAAATTTGTATCTTTTTACTGTACTACAAAATGTGGATCCAGTATACAAAAGTGCCTTTTTTTCAAAAAGAAAATATTTCAAAAGAGTGAGATCATGTTCCTTTTTATTTCTGTTCTGAATTGCATGATAACTCAAATGACACTCAATTATAAGATGTTTTAGCTTTTCTGAATACATGCTTTTACTATGTATCTATACATAGTGTATATCTAAGTACATAGCAAAACCTAAGTATATAGAGAAGTCAAAACGCCTTATAATTTGGAATGGAGGGAGTACTTTCATAAGAGTTGTTTGAAACTTTTAGGATCATAGAAAGGAACAAAAGTTGGGCTTGCTAATATTTTGCCTCTTGTTTGTAGAACACCATACATTATTCTTTTCCTTTAATGCAAGGATTTAAGAAAATAGGACAATAGTATCAATATCAAATCTTGAAAACAACAGTGTACTAATGAACTAATAATATTTTGATCAGACCAGTGTATGAGTTAAGGACTATGAAGAGCTTGTCTATTGTTAGGGATGTGTACTTGTTGGCCTCTCATGGAACAAGACCTCAGTCGTCATGTATGCATGCTTATGTGTTTTTTCAATACAACTATACAAGCATTTTGACTTTATTATAATGCATTGTCAAACATAATAAAGTCCATTATGTTCCAGGAAAAGTCAGGTGGAAAAGTCATTCACCGAGTAGGTGGCGTTGTTTTTCTATATAGAGGAAGACATTATGATCCGAGGACCCGTCCTCGCTATCCACTAATGCTCTGGAAACCTGCCACTCCTGTATATCCAAAACTCATCAAAGAAGCTCCAGAAGGGCTTACAAAAGAAGAAGCAGATGAAATGAGAAGGAAAGGGCATGATCTGCTGCCAATCTGTAAATTAGGTATTAAGTTACTGATCAACTTTATTCCTATTCTTATTGATTCCCTACCAAAAAAAAACTTTTTCCTTATTGACGATTGCTCAGGTATGTTCGACATCTGGATGGCCTTCTTATTTGATTTGTTTGTTTACAAGTTTTGTATTTCTGACATTCGAAGCAGTATTTGAAATGACCTATTCACAGCAGGAACCTTAATCCTGTTACACACCACGTACTAGATACCTTTCAAGCCTAACTTAGTACTGTAAATACAAAACTAATTGTCAAGGATAGGCGGCCCCTGATTTTATATTTTTTTGTGTATATGCTTACAAGATTTTGTACCATGTATGTCATGCACATGTGGGATGTGGCTGCTGGCTACTGGTTACTGCTTTTTCTACCTGCCTCTAGTTCTACTGACCAAAAATGCTAGTCCCTCCTTAGAAATAGATGACCCAGTTTGAACTGTTAAAGTTCAGTAACTTCGAACGGTGATATTAGCTCAATTGTTTAGTTTTTTCGTGTGAAAACAATACTGTTAGGGAGGCAATAAGTACTTCAAAAATATATAGCATTTTGACTATTTTGACTAATGCATGTTTGCTTCTACTAAAGGGTTGCTGCTGCAGCAGCTGTACACCTGTGCACCACTGTGTGCAGCTGCAGCTTCAGTAATTGCTGCTGATCCGAACAGGCCCATAGTGCTAAACTGATTGTCAAAACTCTCACTGGAAGGATTGCTTGCTTTTTACTCTTTTTTTAAGGTACAGAGAACAACCCATGCTACTGATGATGTATCTTATCTTGTATTCTCTATCTTTTAGCCAAAAATGGAATATACATCACTCTTGTCAAGGATGTGCGAGATGCTTTTGAAGGAAATGACCTGGTGAAGATTGACTGTGAGGGTTTGAATCCAAGTGACTACAAAAAGATTGGAGCGAAACTAAGGGTTCTATTCACCCTCATGAATTTCTCAGTTTTCATTTCATTACTTGTAGTGGTAGTGAATCCTTTACATACCTTCTTTCCGACCTACTCAGCTAAAATTGCTTAGTTCTATATATGCAGGATCTTGTTCCCTGTGTTCTTTTATCATTTGACGATGAACAGATATTAATGTACAGAGGCGAAGAATGGAAATCCAGATACTTGAAGCCTCTTACTCTCATTCCAAAAGTTCAACAGAATAATCTGGCAGTGTCATCTGACATGAATAGTTCAGGTATGCTTTCTTAACTCTTATAATAGCTGTTTTGGTCTTGCTTCTTTAATATCCATGGTCATTGTTATTTATAATAGCAGTTTTGGTGATTAGGTTTTTATCAACTCCTCATTTTGTAATATCTTCCTGCACTCATTTATCGTATGCTTATATTCATTCATTTTGCTCAAACATACACTCAGATGTGTTGCATGGAAAATATAGCTGCCCTTTTTTGTTGGTCACATGGAAAAGACCAGCACCTCCAGTTAATTTTATATTATTGGTTGCACTTCCTGGATCAAAATAACAAGGCAACTTTTTTCCAGATACAGATCAAGTTGCGATAAGAGAAGTATTGAGACCCAAAATGTTTAAATTATGGAAGAGTGCAGTGGACTCGTCTCTGGCATTGCTGCTGGATGACGCTGAAGCAAATGATCTCACACCCGATTCACTGCTGACTTTGGTTGAGGAGTTCAGCGTGACATCTCAGGCAGCGGAGCACTCATTTCCTGCTCTGCTTGTGACCAATGGTGAGGTGAACACCGAGTCTCTAAGTGCGGAATACATAAATGATGAGCCTGAAACAAGCATTGCTGGAAACGAAGAGGGCCGCCAGCTCGAGCAGTCACCTGATGTCTGTGACGATGAACATTTTGAGCTTGACATGTTTGAGCGTCTGGAGTCATCTGTGCCATTGGGTTCGCTGCCGATTGACAGCATGATAGAGCAGTTGAACAGTGAGTGAACTACAATGAGCAGTTCATTCAGTCCATTGGGTTAACTACTGATGATCAGATTGCAATCTCGGATTGTGTAGATGCATTCTCTACGTTCCTCCGACCTCAGTCTGATGATGATCTCAATAGCTGAGAATTTTCAGCGATTTGGTAGCAAACATGATGTAAAGAAAATAATTGTAGCGGATGGGCATGTGGCCCAGTGGTGAAGGCTCCAAGTGAGGAGCCGGCCGGCCGGGGTTTGATCCCACGTCCCGCATCTGCCCTCCTGTGAAGGGCGCACCAGGTGGTGCTTTCAAAAAAAAAAAAAAGAATAATAATAATATATTTGTAGTATGCAAATGCACTAACTGATCACACGTATCATTGTCACCATCAATGAGTATGCTTGCATGTATAAGAATATTTACATTTATTTATACTGTGTTTACCAAAAAAAAAGTATTGCGCCATGCTCCAAAAAGGTGCAGACGCTAGCAGTGACTAGAGTCTATAGTAGGTGATTCTTCTTCAAATTTTTAATATTTTTGAAAATAAGGAACCGATTTATGGTTCAGAAAATTTTGGGGCAAACCCACCAAAGAGGAATCAAGAAAACTACCTTGGTGAAAATTAATGAAATCATCCTCTCTGATCTCTGTTGGTGTGTAGCTAGGCCAATCTCAATAGGGTTTTATGTGCATTAAATACGCTGATATGACATTTTATTGATGAAGAGAGATGATAAAAATTTTATGGAAGTACATAGAGTTTCACTCTTCTACACTGTTATCAAAATACAGGTATGTTATAGAAACTATGATATAAAACCTCCATTGAGACTGATCTTAGGGCTTGTACAATACATATGCTCTTATATAGAGAAGGAGAGAAATACTATACCATTAAGCGCCTCCAAGACACTTAATCTACAACGGAGTGAAACGCTTGCATGTGCTAACTGCCGGACCGTTACGTGCGTCCTTCTCCGCGAGATCGCGAAGAGCCCGTCCCGGAGTCGCTGCTTCGCGAAGCGCCGGGCTTGCTGCTTGCTCGCATGTAGGACTCCACGCTGGCAAAGAAATTCGCTGTAACGGCCCATAAGCGGCTGGCGTTGTACAGGCGCTTAGTAGCCAGTTACACACCATGGAAATGCTTTGAGTTGTAAAAAAATTGAATTAATGTGAATAAAATAATACGTATATTTGGTCATATGATGAGCAATAGTATGTGTCCAAAATTTTTATGTGCAGATTTTTTTTTTGAAAGGACGGCAAAAGCTTTGCCGCGGATTTTATTAGACGATATAAAGAGAAAAAAAGAGAGCAAATACAACTTCCTATTTACACCCAGCGTCCCCTGCTAATCAAAACGGAAACCAAAGAAAAGCGCGAAAAAAAACAACCGTCTTTAAAGAAAAGCAGGTAAAAAGAGACGAGACTAGGGACAATCCGAAAACAAGAATCTCGCCCAATCAAGAAGAGGTCTCACCGCTAGTTCGCCAGATATGAATTTGAGCCGTCGCTAAAGAAAACTAACTTATATCATCTTTGCACAAACTTGCGATTTGTCTTGGGCTCAAACTTTTTTGTTGGAAAGTACGCCTATTCCTCTATTTCAAGATATTCCACCAAAAATAGATTATGATCCCGTCGAAGCGCCGTCTTTGATTTTTGTCAACTTTTCTCCTACATCTTCGCCAGTAATTATGAAGCGACCCAGTTGTGTTTATGGAGCTTAGGTCTGAACCATATCTTGATCAACTCCCACACTTCCTTAGTGAAAGAGCAATCTTTACACAGGTGTGTTGGTGTCTCTTGATCATTTGTACATAGTTTATATATGGGGTCATCCGTCCATCCTCGCTTCATCAAGTTGTTTGCGGTCAGAATTTTTGTGTGCATTAGTGTCCATGCGAAGAATCTGCATTTCGGTTCCGTCTTGACCTTCCAAATTGACATAATTCTGAGCTTGAAAAAGGTCCCCTGGAACTGAATTTCATAAGCGCTTTTTGTTGCGTACTCACCACTTTCTGTCCAACGCCATCTTATATCGTCTTTCATATTGTTGATGGACTGCGTATCCTCGATGGCCTCCCAAAGGTCGGCAAATTCAGAGACCTCTGCATGTGAATTCGGAGGATTTATGTGCAGAAATTAGCGTGAAAGTACACGCAGTTAGAATGAATTGGAGGAAATCTTTGCAGTTACCATGAACAGTACATTCGTAGTTTCGATCTCTTTCGACAGTTAACCCTAATGACTATATTATAACCAAAAAGAAATAGTTACACGAAGAAGAAGAAGAAAAAAAAGACTTCGTAGTGTGTACTAGTATATTAACAATGACACAACCACCAGAAGGCAGAAGATTCTAGCTGGGATTAAAAATCTTGCATTGCTAATAAAGACACTGCAATCCGATCCAAGGTGTGGCGCATGAGCACTAACCCTTGCCAGCTGCCACGTTTGGCGCCTCGCATCGCAATCGCATGCATCCACCATGGCCCACGTACGTTTTCCTTGGGTTCTTTGACTTTTGACTTCACTCGCCCAGAAGCGAACGAGAAGGGAACATGCATGCTTAAACCAGACGGTCAAGTCAAAGATCGGTGGCCGGCTCATTCCACTTGCAGCCGCCGCGATGTGTACCTCAGTGCTGTGCATGTGGCGGCCTTTGTGGGTTTAGTTCAGCAACGAACGTACTCCGCCTCCACAAAACAATACGATTCTCACGTTTCGAGAAGTTAAACAGTTTCAACTTTAACTAAAATTAAATAAAAATATACTAACACTCATGAGATCAAATAAGTATCACTAAATTAGTTATAGAATATATTTTTATAATAAATTTATTTTGAGACATAAATGTTAATACTATTTACTGTAAATTTGGTTAAAGTTGGATTACTTTGACTGGCACGTTTCTCATAATTGTATTCTTTTCTGAACGGAGGGAGTAAACACCAAACGGCGCGCACACACCACACCACCAGTCCTGTAGTCTCATCCGCTTCCTTGGACCGCGCCTGACTTTTGTGTTTTGTCTAAGGGGGCTCTGCCTTGGTGCCCGTTAGCTCCGCTTTTGCTTCGTCGTCGTACTCGCGGGCTCATGCGCACAACACGTCGCTGGGGCATGGGGGCAGAATGAAGTTAGGGTTAGGGGAGTGTGTGATGCGCCGTGAGCTCTCAGGCCTCAGCCTCTTAGCATGCCGCAGTAGGCAGCGGGCCGATACTAGGCCTTAGGCAATTTACTCAGCTAGGGCAGGCCGCTCGACGTGTCTAAGGTGCGGCCCAAGCAAGGCCCTATGCATCGGGCCAGGCTGGCCCGGGCTCTCATAACACCGGGCCGTGCCATGCTCGGGCCAGGCCAAAAAAAACTATGCTTTGGGTCGGGCCATCGGGCTGTGGGCTACATGCTCATCTTTAGCCGTGCAGAAGGGCCAACAAGGTTAGTACACTCTGTCGCTTGAAATCAGTAGACCCATGGGAAAGCTACACCAGATCAGAGTTCAGAGCAACCGCTGCACCCTCAACTCCAGTCCCAATTCCAATCTCGAGGACACCGCTACGATTTGGTGAACCCACACAACGCGCGTGAGTGTGCCCTTCGCAACGCAAGAGCAAGCACTCGCAAACTTACGTTTTTTGCAATTTAGTCTTCCCTCTCCCTTGAGCCATGTGTTTACCTTGCTACTTTTTGTTTCCTAATTCGGAGGCCATAAAGTATTGTTTGATCCGTTAGGCTCTGTTTGGAAGTGGCGTACTGTTTTTCACCTGTAATTGGTTGTGCACAAGGTTACAGTGGTATATTTTTTCAGTGGTAAGCTTCTTGTTTGGGAAGCGAGACAACTTCATGACGCATGCATACAGGAGAACAGCAAGCTAGCTACTGTACAAACCCAAGAAAATGGCGACGGTGGCCCTCCTGCGGCAAGCCCACCACCTCGCGCGCTGCCAGCATCCCAGGCCGACGACCTCGAAGCCGGCGAGGAAGACACTGGCGACTTCACCAGAGCTCGTAGCTGAGGATGCTCCCGCCATGTCCGATGACGCCATCGCCAGCCTGGTGCTCCCGGCACCCGCCGCCGCTCAGCATGGCCGGTGCGCTCTCCCCGACTGGCACCTCGGTGAGCATGTCGGCCACAGCGGTGCTGCAGAAGGACGCGGAGTTGGGCGCCATCGCCGAGATGGTGCCTCGGGGAATCGAGGTTGCGATGGCCGCCGCCGCAGCCGAGACGGACGTGCGAGAGTCGCGGGTTGCTGGAAGAGCCCGATGTTTCTCGTTTTTTTTTCCAGGCCTCCACACAAGTTTATTTTTTTTCCCGATGGTTTTAGCCCAAAACAGGTGTAATTTTAGTGGGCTCACCGGTCTTCAACGATTTTCATCTTGGGCTGGAAAAATATTGTGGCCTGTAATTTATAGGGGTTTTGGGTACATTACCGAGCTTCCAAACATGGCCTTAGCTGTAGAGTGACAAAACTCAAAAATGATGTGTGCCTTCTATTGTTGTAGGCAGCGGCGCGTTTGCAGTCACCGGAAATCCTTGGATCTCAGAAGGCATGTGGTGCTGACGATGATGAGAAAACCACTGTATGTTGCATCTTTCTATTCAGCAATCCTTCCCCGCGGCAGCCGTTGCCGTGCTCCGACCCTGCTACCGCATTCCTCTCCCGCACCCACTTGCCCCACATCCTCACCACTGCCGACGACCCCCCCAACCGACGACAACAGGGAGGATGATAGCCTCACGTTCTTAAGAGTAGCTGGTGGGAGACTCTCCGTGCATTAAAAAAAAGATTTGGCTTTGTATGTGTATGGTACATTGAATTTTATTGTGATTGTTATATGCATGAATTTTCAGGTGGATGATTGTGCCTGGTGCAATAAATTATCATGATGGATTTTGACTTCCTGGCAAACATATTTTTGTGATGGTTCGAATACATTTTTGTGGTGGTGTCTCCCTCATGAAATACTATATTGTTGTGATTTTTGGTACCCTCAAGAATCAATTTTATGACGGCGGCCTCCATGCGTACCGCCATGATAACACCAATGCAAACCTGGTGACGGTGTAAATTTTCATAGAGAGGGCCGACATGATTACATGAATGTTCGCCAGGAAAATAATTTGCATAGCTTCATCTGTGTGGGTATATGCCTCACAGTAGGTCGATTATAATGCATCTTATGCCTCACGGTAGGTCGTGAAAGCATCTAGGCCCTTAGTGAGTTTCGGTAATTAATGATAACAAAAGATTATTGTGACTAACGTGTATTTTGCAGAGGCAATTTAAGTTATGTCACGATAATGATGATTGTTTGGGCAATCAATAGTTTTCATACCCCTATCGATGGAAAATAGTTTCGGTTTTCAAAGGATGGATGACAAGGTTAAGGACGGACTAGTTCGAAGTGTCATTTCAAGTTGATAGACACTTAGAGTAGTTTAGGAGTTTGTTTTTCCTTTGGTCGTACTATTAAGGGGGTATAAACTAGTAGTTTGATCTAGGTGAGTCTAATGATTTAGATGTGGTGCACACCTATCAAACTTAACACTAGGTAGCTCAGGGACAGCCCAAAGATCAATTGGAGTCAACTTCATTCACAAAGAAATTTGAATTGGAAGTGTGAAAGGAGGACCGAACGCTGGTCTTGCATGGACCGGACGCTATGAGCAGAGTCCGGTCAGTGTATGGCCTGTGCAACTAGGGTTTGATTGCTATCGGACGTTGGCGCAGGGGAGGACCGGACTCGACACTGCCACTATAGCAGGTAAGGCTCAGTGCTCGGCTTTGACCGGACTCGGAATGCCAGCGAGTCCGGTCGAGTCAGTCTAGAGAGTTTTTCAAGGACCGGACGCGACCGGTGGGGGTTGACCAGACGCACCCCAGAGTCCAGTAACCATAACGGCTATGTCTGACAAACGACGCCACGTAGCCGTTGGCTACTGACCGAACGCGTCCAGTCACTCTGACAGGCGCGTCCAGTGCCTTCGAAATTTGCTGAGTTGGAACCCAACGGGTATGTTGGGGGTGTGGGTGCATAAATACATCTCCAACTCATCCAATTCCTCCCTCTTACTCATTTGTTCAGCTGAGAAACACATTTGGAGTTCAAGGGAGTGCAAGAGCCTAGTGTGGTGATTGAGATTTGATAATCCAAGATTAATGACCTCTTTAGTGCATAGGGAGTATCAAGTGTGTGCATCCACCTTTCTCATTAGGCTTGTCATGGTCAAGTGAGAGTTTGTGTTTGTTACTCTTGGTGATCGTCATCACCTAGACGACTAAGTGATGATTGGAAGCTTGGTGATCATCCGTCGGTGATTGTGGATGACCCAAGTCGTCTTGTGGGTGGTTGTGGACGATTCACCGCGATGGAGTGTCAAAGAATCAGCCCGTAGAGAGCACTTGATCCTTGTGCGGATCAAGGGGGAGCTACACTCTTGCACAGGTGCTCCAACGAGGACTAGTGGGGAGTGGCCACTCTCTGATACATCTTAGAAAAACATCGCCGTGTTCCTTTCCCTCTCTTTACTTTGAGCATTTACTTTTGAGCAATTCAATTCATGTCTTTACTTTCTTAGAATTGCCATGCTATAATAGAATTGAAACCTAGGGTGCAAGACTTTTGTGCAGTAGAACAATAGAGAACACATTTAGGCACTAGGGGTGAAATGGGATAAGTGTAGGACTTAATTATTACAAGAATTTTTAGTTGAGCCCAATTCATTCCCCTCCTAAGTATCTTAATCCTTTCAGGTCGATCGTGATGCATCTTTTTTATGGGGGTAAAATAGAATATTAGAAATATCACACTCAAAATATTAGTTTTATAGTGTAATAGTACAACACACGTTCAAATTTAAATTATTATGACATTACTTAGCATGATCCTATAATTAAAGTGAAGAATTCGTGGAAGGAGCTATATACTATTGCTTACTAGCTGATTGGTGAGCGAGTGGGTTCCATATAACCGTATTTGTACACAGGCAGGGATCGGAGTAGGGGACTGCAAGGAGATTTGATTAATGGTCGCGCATTGCGATTATCTATGATATATATGAACTTTTGCGTTTACTCCAGCTGTTATACATACGTGCATGATTTGATTTATCAAACAATCCCCGAGTTGCCCGCAGCTTGCTGCAAATTGTTCATTCCTTATTCAGATCCTGTAGCTAGGGTTCTCAAGACAGTATGAGATTGATCACTCAATCATCAATGCAGGACAAGAAACTGAGTTTTAAGTTTTTAATTTAATAGTGAAAGTGATCAGATCGTGCACCACGAATAATCAGATCGACCAGAGGCTGATCTGGTGAATCGAAAATATACCAACATGTGAGCCTTTCACGTAATAATAATGGGAAGAAATAGAGATGTGCCATGCCATACCATGTGTGCTTAGTTTGGTCTGCAATAACCAGACGAAGTGAAAGCGATGTTTTGTCTTTATATTCCGCGATTAGGATTATGCTCTCGTGCATTGCAACGGGAACAGAAAATAACAACACGATAACTAAAGTTTCTACTCACGTCGTATTGTTACGAAAAACTTGATGTTTTTGTATCATGGATACAATGATGGTTTTGCATTATTTCTCATTTTCTCCAGCTTTTCCGTTGTACTAAGGAATTCTAGCTCGACCATCTTCCACGAGCTAATGTATCTCTATATCTATCTCTGTCTCTTCTACAACTAAAAAGCATCAAAAGCAATAGTTCATCTGGCAGACCCATCCTCTTCCCGATAAGAAAAATGTTCTAGCCCTGAAAACACCCAATAAAAAAATCTCGCACCCGGGAGACCTATACCTTCCCTCGATAAAAAAATCAGGGCTGTGGAAATACCAGACAAAAAAACTCCCGAGCATGGAAATAGAATCGCCCGAACCCCTGCAGGTCCCAATGGACGAAATGTTAGAAATTTAGGCAATTTCAACGATCATTTAATTCAGAAAATAGCAATAAACAAAAGGTTTGTGACATCGTGTATGTGCTTGTGTGATCTTATTGTGGCTAGTGTGTAGAACGTACTAAAGAATGAAATAGAAACCAAAAACCTTATGGGAAAGGTTTGATTAACAATAACATACACAGCGGCAGAGCCGGATGCACTCGAAGACATAGTGCCTGTCGGTGTAGTTGTCCCGCTCGACGCAATTTAGACAAGTAGCAGGGTCGATCACCGGAGAACCTTCATTAGCGAGTAGTCGTGCCGCCATGACACTCCCCAAAAACATGATTGCTGCCTTTCACCCGAGCAGGCGAACTTGAAGACAGTAGGCGTTTCGGAGGCCTACTCTCCTAGGACTCGTGCGCGCAAGTACTGGGATGGAGAAACTTTGGGGCAGCGGGAAAGTGGTTGTTGCATGCGCATTGGACCAGGAGAGAAGAATGAGGAGGCGAGCTTTGCTTTTATCTCAAAGCCATGAAAGCCAAAGAACCACAGGGGATCACCAAGAGTCAGAAGCACTGGAGACACTATGGGAGGAGTGGAGGAGGCGCCCAAGCTACGGGGCGCTACGGGGAGAAAAACTCCCGTAACTCCTGCCATTACTTTACTGATTAGGGACAGAAACTCCTTCCATTATTTTCTTATTGGGACAGAAACTCCTAAAACTCCCGTCGGCTCCATAATTGGTTTGAGTGGCAAAACTTTTCAAGTCCTGCACCGCGTGTGTCGCGTCGACCAAGTCACGACACAGTCACGCCTCTTCTCAACTTTTTCAATGTAGACAGACACAACCCGCACATATAGGTTGAGTCAACGTCCAGTCAATATTCCGTATGGGACTAAATAATATTGTGCACATTATTTAATACGGGCCTTAGATTTTATTTGATTTAGTTAGATAATGTATGGGCCTAGCCCACACATTAAATCTAACAACCCCACCAAATTCTAAGGCACATGTTAAATAATCTCAAATCCACAGTTGTTTGATATACCAGAGTTTCGACGGAGACTGTTAAGTTGAACATCCGTCTAGAACAGAGCTCCACACATTCACAACTGAACAATGGACTATGCCTTGAATTGATAGTTTTGTGAATTGAGTTTCACCAAAGTTCTTTCATGGTAGTAGGCTACTACAAGCATCCCCTCTATTTTGAAGCATATAAGTCATACTTCAATGCCTTTCATGAGTATCTAGAGATTACCCACAT